TTTCCTGATTATCTTTTCTGTTGTCATCGGCTTCGACAACTCAGGCCATTAGCCTCGTTTTCTGTGTAGGTTACGGAGAAGTATTATAATAGGTACTTCCATAATATAGGTTTTGTTACTGTTTCGCAGTGCTACTTTAAGAACAGCACTGTTAATAAAAATCCAATAGTAAATGGTCGAATGGGCAATCCTAACTTTGAATCAGATTTATTTTTAAAATAATTAAATAAATTAGAAAAAATTCCTTACAAATTGTACTTGCTGTATTAGGTAAACGGCAATTTAGTTGTAAAATTTGTAAAAAAAGTGCTTTTATTATTTAGAACACATCCTGATTCACAATGAAAAATGAGAGGGAATGCAAAAATCCCTATAACGACACTTCATATTATTAACGACAGCTCTGTGGCTATCGTTGATGAACGACAATTTTATAACCATATTGGTCTATTTTCAACGACAATCGTTGTCTACTGAATAAGAAAAGTCGTCTGTGAACGATTATCGTCTATTAACGACGTCGTTCAGAGTTACTGAATAGGCCCCTAAAAGGAGATAGAAAACTCCGCCATTTTGAACCCTTATTACGTGTTGCCTACATCTTGGCGCAATATTTTTAATAGGTGCGTTTTAATCATCCACTTCTGCTTCGGAATTGTCGGTTTTCTTGTTTTAATCTGACAGGTTAAAACGACTAAACCGACAATTCCGGAAGCAGAAGCGGATGATTAAAACGCACCTGATATTTTGCTTGCTGCTGTCAGTGTCATTGAATATTATTTTTGAAGTCACAGCTTATTGCTAAAGAATCAGTTAGCTCACTCGGACCAGTTGAAAGTTCCAAAATAACATCCACTCCAGGGATACAAATTCAGGATACGCAGAAGACTGCTGTTTTATTTTAGGCGGTTGTCATATATTGTATTATCCGAGTTGCACAGTGTATAAACTGAAACATTGAGATCAAAAGTGCCGACGCAGAGTGAGCGATCTGATTCTTTAGCTGTAAACTGTGTCGCAGGGTTCAAAATGGCCGCGCCCTATGTTGGGCGTGTCGGACCTCTCTCTTGCCTCGTATAGTAATCAAAGTATGTGTATTGATACCATCGGGGTTATTCTTGTGGCCAATGAAAAGTAAACAACGTTGAAATATTTTTAATTATTGTGCATTTCTCAACGTTGTTACTGAATTTCGATTCATGTGGCCGTTCAACAATTAAAACAACGTTGAGTTTTTCACAGTATTGTTTATTTTTCAACGCCCTTAGTTATTTCCGATTCAGGTGCCTAATATGCATTGAAAAGTATTCAATGATGAATGTATTCAGCGTTGAGAATTTGGCAAGTAGTTTCAGGACTTGCTACGAGTTTCATCGTTGTTTCTTTTGGTTGAGACACCACAGTTATACTGGTGTCCGGGTGTGTTGTGAATAAAAATGGCAAACAACGGGTTCATTCTTCTAATTGCTGGCGCTATACAAGATGAAGAAAGGTAAATATACTGAAAAAAGACTGGTTTTATTCCTAATTAATATTATAAAAAGAGGCAGGTTAGGTTTATTTTATAATTACAACTTAAAACAAAAGCAGCATCTAAAAAATTAGTAGAAGTCTATACATAACATTTCACAAATCAGAACAAAAAAGTTATACCTACATTTGCTTAGGTTGCAGCAGAGAGTACTGAGACGTTATTTAAGAGACCATCATGATGCATTAGATATGCCGGAGGAACAGTTTCGTGGAATATACAGAATGTCCAGAGATTTAGTGCATGACCTGGTTATAGAATTGGCACCTCATATGGCAGATGGTGTAAGAGAAGCCATATTTATTCCAAAAAAAACTAAGGTAAATAACTACCCAGACAACACACCAAATCCCAGAGATATCCACAGAATATCTTTTGTGGATATCCAATATATCTACAGGATATCAGAAATATTCCGTGGATCTAATATGGATATCCAAATGTCCGTCTATATCCAGAATATAGAAGATATCCTAATGGATATTCAGCAAAATATCTAATGGGTATCTTCCAGAATATACAAGACGTCCCAGAGATATCCACAGAATATATTTTGTGGATATTCAATATATCCAATATGGATATCCAACCAAATGTCCGTCTATATCCCAGGATATAGAAGATATTCGGATATTCAACAAAATATTTTATGGGTATCTTTAGTAGAGGTTCATAAGTAACCAATGATTATTGAATAACGTCAAAAGAAAATAGAGATAAAAAATATTTTCAACACTCAAAATATTTTAACACTCTGCCTTTGATTTTGCCCACTAAGGAGAAAGTCATCCTTATTAGGACTCTTCAGTGGAAATTCTCGACTCCAGTCTCTAATGGAGTCTGTAGGACAAAAATGTCGATCGAACTCTATTACGGCGGGTCGAGCATGAGTAGATGCGATAGTGGTATCGCCATCTATACTTAGTAAGCAGAATCAAATAACATCTAGTGGATATCCACGATGGTTTGCGTTCGCGCCTAGACTTTGATATATTTAGTGGATGTTCATGGGATATTGAATACACCTTAAAAAAATAATTTTAAATATCTGAAAGGTACTATTAGCCACAATGGCGTAATTTTTTAATAATTTCCTATATAATTACTATTATTTATGGACATTTGCATGTCTATAAATTACATCTCATGGATATAAAATATATATCTACCATGGACTGGACATTCAGTGGATATTGGGATGTTCAGTAGATATCCAAAGAATTTGGTGTGCTGTCTGGGTAACTACCTATATAGATTTTAATTTTTAAGTGGTGGGTGGGTGAGCGCCACGGCAAGTAATAATAGCTGTCCCTTTCCCTACACAAGCTTTGGCTTCAGTGGTTTAAATTAACTCGTATGGGGGTGAATTGGGGCGAGTATTATTATTATTGACAAAACATATTTTAATATATCGTCGTTGATTCTGGTATGTGTAAAATACATTTTTTTTTCATCCTGATACACATATCAGCTATTATTGCCCATAGTTTGAATGTTGGCACATAACATGGTTTTATTATTTGATTTAAAAAGTCAAGGGATTTTTTTTTGCACAGTTCACATACTACCATCAGCTGATGCACGAACATTAATATAGCTGAAATTCAACAAAACCTAAAATTAGACGTAAAGTGCATATAGCAGGTATTGCAAAATCAACAACGATATATGTAGATATATTCTCTTGTAATAACCTACCCGTTAATATATTTTTAGATTCTAGTAGCATTACATTTCTATTCCCAAGGTAGTTATCAAAAAGCTGTAGGACAGGACTATTTTCTACCTATGAGCCAGGCATCAGTATCTCGGTCAATAGCATCCGTAAACTTAGGTCTGGAAAATTTGTATTACAAAATTCATTTTCCAGTTACAGATGAAGAAAAATTAGGTGTTAAGAGAGGGTATGTTACTATAGACATTTTTAATAATTAGATTTTGAAGGAAAACTATGAATTTTAATAAAACAATGACTAAAATAAAACTGCTAATTTATGAAATAGGTCAGGTATATTAATATGACTATTAAACATTAGTTTTGATATTGGTTTTATTAAAATAAAAAAATATATATTCTATACTGACAACTGCCGATTTAATGTTATGTGGTGCATTAAATTAGTAATAAAATTAGCTTTCAAATGAAGTGTCACACTTTACCAATACATAAGTTTTCTATCAACATATAGAGGGCGCTAAAATCAAAAGTAATGCACTGATTAGTCAAAATACCGAATTCTTCATAAAATTACCATTCTAATGATGTGTCACACATGGTATATTCCATATTTAAAATTAAGGGATTACAGAAGTGGAAGGGAGGGGGTTGGCACATGACAAATGTCTGTAATGTAAAAATGTCTACTTTTGAATAAAAATCGACCTGTTTTAGCATTTTCTTAAAATCCAATGAATACAGCCAAATAACAGGGTGGGACCTTTTCGTTTGGCCACCCTGTATGTATATTTTAATTTTGTGTACCATTTAGAATAATAATTCTGTAATCTACCTACTTAATAAAAATTATAAATTATTTTAGATTTCTGGATATGAATAATGGTTTTCCAGGTATCATCGGTGCTATTGATGGAACTCAGATTGCCATAAGAGCGCCACCAGTTAACGATGAAAATTTTCCGGCTATAGTATTTTATAACCGCAAAGGATTTTATAGCCTTAATGTTCAAATTGTAAATATAATTCGTAAATACAAATTCAATTTTCACTTAAATATATTATTTTACAGATTTGTGATTCTAAAATGAAAATATTAGCAGTAAATGCCAGATTTCCAGGCTCCGTTCATGATGCGGGCATTTGGGCAACTAGTCAGATAAGGCAATTGCTTCAAAATAGTTATATTGGTGGTGATCATTCATCCTGGTTAATAGGTATGCATTTTTGTGGGCTATTATATATATTTTTATCTGTTAAATGACTAAAAATTATAGTATTCATTTAAGGAGATTCTGGGTATCCGTTGGAACCATGGCTGATGACTCCAGTTGATGAACCAAATGAGGAAGCTGAGCAAAGATATAATTCTGCACATAGAAGTACACGAAATGTAGTTGAAAGAACCATAGGCTTATTAAAAGCAAGATTTCGGTGCTTATTGAAGCATAGGGTATTACACTATGACCCGATAAATGCTGCTAAAATTATTTATAGTTGCTCAGTTCTCCATAATATTTGTGTTGACAGAGACGAAGTTGAGGAGTTTGAACCAGTGGGTAAGTTCAGTAAAAAATATCACATTTACATTTTTAAATTGTGGGAGTTGTAGTAATTTTAACCCCAATTAAATAATTATTAGATTTAGCACTGTCATTGAATGTTTGTAAGCAACATCTTCCCCCACTATGTACTTGTTTTATAGCAGTAGTTACACTACTTGGTTAGTTAATTTTACTTGTTTATTACAGTGGTTTTTTTCTTGTCAATATTAGTTTCTTTTTTACAGATATTCTTGACGCTGGAGATGATCATCTGAATAATCACAATCCAGGTGTAAATCCAATCCGCAATGAAGGGGCGAAATATAAGAAACAGAATTTTGCGGACTTACTTTTTAAATTTTTGATATAGGTATATTATGTTTTTATTTTGTTTCAAATATACTGACCATTTTTAATTGGAATTAAAAAAATACAAACAACTGCGTCTTTACTTCAACATATTTACATAACACAATGTTGGCTAATAAAAAAATAATATTTGATAAAATAAGTTATATATACATTCAGTTTTTAAAACAAAAATGTATTAAGGCATAAATATTATAAATAATCTATTAAAAGCATTTACAACATTATCGATGGATTTTTGAAGATTGTAAAGTATGTTGCACATCAGAGAATGTTGAGTTTTATACAGAAGTTTAATTCTTTCCTGAGCTTTTGTATGTCCTGAAATACATAATATGTATAGAGCTGATGATACAGGAACCATGAAATACTAATTTACAGGAGAATTGTACTGACAAAACATGACCAAAAAGTAACCGTAGATTTTAAAAATGACATTAATGTGCAAGGACTAGGTATTTGCTTCTGATTTATGGAATCATTTTTATTTGTGTCAAACTTTTGATCTGTACAATTATTCTCTAAATCTATGTTAATAAAAACTTATATTACTTTTTCTCTGCCTATATTTCTTATATGGTTTCCGCTGATGAATGTTCACCCTGTTGGTCTGTTGTTTTATTTTCTTTAAACCTAATTCACATATGGCAATACCAGTGATGGCCACTTTGTTGATAATGGAAATTAACCAATTTTCTATGTCACTTAAATTTTTGTTGATTGCTGGACCTCCACCAGTTTGTTGTTGATGGTAAAATATTTCTCTAGCCTTTTTTTTTGTTTTGCACACCCACTCAAAAAAAGTCTACAAAGTAAGATGTAATTCAGTAGGTAGTAAAAAATTTCTAACTTTGTTAATTTTTACTTGTCTTACACATAGTATGGTAAAAATATTCAGCTCTTGTACAAAAGAAAAGAACAATAAAGTGAAAATGTATACATACTTAGGTATACCTTTCTGATTGGAAAATAATTTCAATATTAATGTAATTTGAATAAATGTTATTCTATGTCAAAATTACCACTTTTGGATTATAATTTTCCATAAGGTGGTTTTTAAGAAGTTTTTGTGTTCTAAGCAGACATCATAAATATAAGGCATTTAATTACATAGGTACTAATACCGATATCACTTGTAAGATTTAAAAAATTGTGCTACATTTACCTGTCGCCACTTTTCTGTTGATTTTACAGCCCCTCTAATACAATTCAGTTCCCGACAAAGAGTTTCAAATTCATTTTCAGGTATTTTGCTAAATTTGTATTTTTCTAGCAGCAATAAGTATAATCTGTATTGTGCCTGACTAGTTTTATGAGCTTTTTCTAAAAAAAAAAACTACTATTAAAATTAACATTTATTTAAAATAAAAAGTATGTAGGTACCTACATCCTTTAGAACATAACTAAAAATACATTCTTTAGGTACCTATAATAAATAAACAGCAAATAAAAAGTCATTCTTTTGAACAAAAAAAATACATCCCTTAGCAACAAAAATAAAAGTAAATAAATAAACAGTAAATAGTCATTCTTTTGAACAAAAAAAAAATACATCTCTTAGCAACAAAAATAAAAGTACATTCTTACAACAAAAATAACATTTCTTAAAAATAATATAAATGTAAACAGAAAAAATATTTAGGTAGCGGTATTAACGTTGTATGAACTATCTTCATACAACGGTATTAAGACATATTAATTTTTTTTTTCATATAAGTCACAAAATCTGTTTATACCTATGGCAATGTTATTAAGAGCCCCTGCTATTTCTCCCAAAGTACTTCTCTCCTCTTCCTGGCCCTGTCTATAAGCATCAAGTAGAGGATTCGCAGATCTCTTTTTAGTTTTTTTTGTTTTGGGCTGCATAGTTTTTTCCACCTCTATCAACAAGATTTCTTCTTCTTCTTCGCCCTCTTTTTCTTCATCCTCTACAACTGCGTTTTCGTCTGTTTCATCCACCTCTTCAACTTGAAACTCATTGATTACAGGTTCATTTACACCTAACTCGTTTAAAAATCCCACAACTACAACATTCCCCGTTTCATTAAGTAGCTCTTCTTCCAATTTCGATAGTTCCTTATTTGTTCTTGCTTTTTTTCTGACGGCTGTTTTCCATTCCCTAAATACCTAAAAAGTAAATATTGTAATATTTGTGTATTTCAGGAAATGATTACATACCTTTTTCCATTCAGTTGCAGGTCGTGTAGGTCCATCTCCTACGGCATTTAAATCAGTACACATCTGATCCCAAATATTCTCGATATCCTTAGGAATAATACCAGGAGTCATTTTGCCCGTTTTTAGAACATTATGTTCTTTAATGTATTGGACATAAATCTCGAATTGCTTCTTGGAGGTTCGTTTTCTTTTTTCTTTTTCCATATTTCCAAATACTATTTCAATAGAAACTAAAAAATCAAAGGACCCCGCAATAATCTTATGGAAATTGGGTTTCGGTCAAATTGTCTGAATTTTTGATATGTTGTAGATTTCGTCATCCTGAACAAAAGTCTCCATGGGCACAAAGCGCCAAAATCAATATTTTGGCAGCTACAGAGCTGCCAAAGTTCCATATATCCGTTCCAAAACTATTCATTTTTAATAATATTTCCAGATGTCGAGAGCATATTTTATTTATTTAAACACATAAGGTAGCGTTTTTTGGGTCACTGAATTCAATGCTAATGGCCGTGTTCATCGTCGTCAAACATGTTTTAAAAGCAAAGAAACATGTTTCATAAGCGGTTGGAATGACGCTGAACGATCATTTTTGTTTACGATTTGTTTTCTCAACATCAAATCTGTCAAAAAATCATGGAGGAAAAAAAATGGAATGACATTTGGTTGGCACAAAGAAGGTTATGTGAATTGTTTACTTTAGTATTTTTTTAAAAAATTTGAGTTGAATTGATTTGTACAGTGAATTAGAGTTTATATAAGTACCCTTCTGAAAGTGGTTGTGACAATTTTACGGCGAAAAACCTACAACTTGTATTATTTTGGGTTGTAAAGTCATGATGTTTTTATTGCCTCTATGGATCTTGAATTCTACATACTTAGACTAATCAAAGAAATTGTAATAGTCATTTTATTACAGGTAAAATACATTTTTTTGACACACAAATAAAAACATACTGTAACTAGATCATACTTTGAAGAGCAGAATGAGAATGCTATTTATTGTGTATTGTGTTTAATCAACTGTCTGGTCTGCACCAATAAATTAAAGTAAAGGAACTCATGATACTAATAACATACATCTCAAAAAGTGATCTTTTTACATATATCAAGGATACATAAAAGTGTATAATAATAGAGACATCAAGTATGACTTTCTTATTTTTAGGGAAACAGAGTTCCTTCGAAGTTAGTAATCATTTAAACTGGACTCCAGCCCAGAACTTGAGGCATGTGTCTCAAACCAGTTCAAAACTAACTGAATCGAAAAAGGAGGAAGAGATAAAAATGAAAATCAACCTGAAGTAAACTTTTATTTTTGAGTCATACCTAACATCATAAGTCCCGCTTTAGGCAAGACAAACCCACTTTCAAGTTATGTGTACCATTGTCCCCAAAGAATGCAAAAATGTCCCGCTTTAAAAGAAAACGTGATCTGATTCAAAACATTTTTCAAAAAAGAGTGGTATCTCGCATAAATATGTGCTAGTGAAAAAACTTACTTAATTTGAAGTATCAGTATTGAAAGACAAGCATAACATAAACAAGTCACGTCAACAGTTCCACTCCCATTTAAAAACTAAAATATAGAAAATCAGCCCACTAAACAAGTTTTATTTCGCTTTTCTAATTTTTAATAAATAAACATAAAATTCTGTTATTTCACTTATTTTTAATACATTTTTTTTATTATATTATTGTTTTACTTTTACTACAATCTTACTGTTGTTATTCTACATTAAAAATAATGAAAAATTGCTGTTATGCTTTTTAAAATTTACAGGCTTCTTGCTGTGAGGTAAGAAAAGATAACGTTTTATTACAAAAACTGAAAATTGTTAAAATAATCCCTATCTAATGCTTTACTTATTTTTTTACAAAGTATTTTTTATGTAGGTACTTAGGTGTTATACATTTTTGGTCATTGCTAATATTCATTGAGTCTGAATTATTTTTATGTATTAATAAAATTTGTCTAGTATTATAGAGTTATACATACCTTGTCGACAAACTACATACAGTAATTCTTTTATAGGAATGATATATTTTGTATTGGAAATTAATATATATACAAATTTAATGTTATATATCATATAGGTAGAGCGACTTATTAGCAAAAATTATTTGAAATGTATTCAGTAATGATGTATTTTTTTATAGGTTCAACAAACCAAGATGGGCCCTTTTTAATATAATTGCTTATATTTAATTTATTTTGTAAATAAAAAGTCATACTTTTATTATTTATTTTTTAATGCCCTATATACATTACATGACAACAAAAAACATCGGTGCAGTTTTAATAACAAAACTCGTCTGTTTTGAATAACTCTGTGCTAAAACTATATAATATGTAGGTATGTTATATTATCCATATTCCTTACTAGTGGAATCCCATTAACGTCCAAATGAAATAACTTAAGCATACGTGTATGTATCTACGTCTGGAATTAATTTTATTTTTTTCAAACAGGTACCTCCATAAATACAATATTATATTAAAATACAACTTAACTAATCAACTCTATTAGGGTATAAAACCTTAAAAATATAAATAAATAAACACATAACCTAACAAAATGCCAAAAGACTGATTTGACAGGGGTTCAAGGTCAATTTTATGCTTTTAAAGCAAACAAGCGAGTTTATTTTCGCTTTTATGCTTCTTCAAAAGCGCTGCAGTGGTTGACAGTTCATCGTCACCGCTTACTCAGCGTTACAACATGTTTGACGACGATGAACACGGGTTATATTGGAAAAATTGACAGTTGACAGCTGTCAATTCGCTGTCAAAGAGGAATAAAAAAGTGAATGTGCTCTGTTGACATTGGAAATTCAGGTTTTCGAGGCCGCTGAATTCAATGCTAATGTTAGATTGGAAAAATTGACAGTTGACAGCTGTCAATTCGCTGTCAAAGAGGAATGAAAAAGTAAATGTGCTCTGTTGACATTCAGAGTTTGGGTTTTTTGGGTCGCTGAATTCAATTCTAATGTTAGATTGGAAAAATTGACAGTTGACAGCTGTCAATTCGCTGTCAAAGATGAATGATTATTGCCGCGTTTGAGAATCCACATCGGATGCATTTTTTACATCTCGAGCGTTTTTTTATCCACATCGGACACATCTACTACATCTACATCTGCGTTTGTTTATCCCAGATGTACCTGTTCAGATTACATTTTTTACATCTCGATTTGAAATGAGATGTGAATGAGATGTTCGTTCCATGCCAGAAAGTAAGTGTTCTGTGAAGCCTTGTTTGTCAATTTATCCTTTGTTTATGCTAGCATGAATATAAAAGTGATTAGTTTGTATAATTTTTGTTAATATTTCAAATTTAGGTTGATTTGTAGTCTCAAAAGTCAAATTTAATAAGTATAAACTTCTAACTTGTCATTGACATTTTATCACGTGACCAAATAAAGTCTAGAGCGTTTGTTTATTACATCTACATTCAGATCTAATTCTCTATCACGTGATAAAAAATTCACAACATCTCAGATGCATCCGATGTGGATTCTCAAACGCGGCAAAAAGTAAATGTGCTCTGTTGACATTCAGAGTTTGGGTTTTTTGGGTCGCTGAATTCAATTCTAATATTAGATTGGAAAAATTGACAGTTGACAGCTATCAACAAGTACTTGCCAAAATCCAACATTCGAATTGAATTCAGCCACCCACCAAACCCAAACTCTCAATGTCAACAGAGCACATTTACTTTTTCATTCCTCTTTAACAGCGAATTGACAGCTGTCAACTGTCAATTTTTCCAATCTAACATTAGAATTGAATTCAGCCACCGAAAAAACCCAAACTCTGAATGTCAACAGAGCACATTTACTTTTTTATTGCGAATTGACAGCGAATTGACAGCTGTCAACTGTCAATTTTTCCAATCTAACATTAGAATTGAATTCAGCGACCCAAAAAACCCAAACTCTGAATGTCAACAGAGCACATTTACTTTTTTATTACTCTTTGACAGCGAATTGACAGCTGCCAACTGTCAATTTTTCCAATCTAACATTAGCATCGAATTCAGTGACCCAAAAAACGCTACCTTATGTGTTTAAATAATTAAAATATGCTCTCGACATCTGGAAATAGTATTAAAAATGAATAGTTTTGGAACGGATATATGGAACTTTGGCAGCTCTGTAGCTGCCAAAATATTGATTTTGGCGCTTTGTGCCCATGGAGACTTTTGTTCAGGATGACGAAATCTACAACATATCAAAAATTCAGACAATTTGACCGAAACCCAATTTCCATAAGATTATTGCGGGGTCCTTTACAAATCAAATAACCTATAAATTCCAATTGAGAAGAAACCTTCAGGTTGCGCAGTCGCAGAGCGATTTAGATAAGCACAGAACTGCTAGTTCTTGCGAGCGTAGCTAACTTCTCAAATGTCTTGTTTTCCAACGTTGAATACAAATGAACGTTGAGAACTTGCGGCCACGAGAATACAAACATTTACTCAACGTTCAAAACTTCCATTGAAAGCGGCAGTGAAACTTTCCACCGTTGACTTATTTTCAATGGCCACAAGAATAACCCTGAATATGCACATTGGCTTTCTGCCCCACTCCAGTTCATTGTATAGAAGTCGTCTGATTAGGCATTCCAACGACCTGTCAAACAATAGGTGCCAGTGGGAAATTCTTGTATATTTAAGGGGGTAGCGACATAGTCTTGCAACTTGGACGCTATTTTTATTCGAAGTAGTACTCGCCAAGCCTGCCAATTTATGAAGAAATGTATAAGTGAGTTTTTTAAATATTATTTTTATTGTGTTTGACATAAAATATTTAAATGTAATCCATTATTCATAATTTTACGTAAAGTAGATAGAATACACCATATGTCGCCACCCTTAGATATACCAAACCTGCCCACTGGTAATTCATTTGTTTGGAATGCCTAATTGACATTTGACATTAACAGAAACCACGGCAAACTTCAAACCACAGAACTTAAATTAGGAGAATAGATTTGACAGTTTACAAAAACATTTCTACAAGGGGAAAAAATGGAGTTTTTTTTTAGTATGCGCAGTAGGTGCCAAACAAGGTCATAATTTGAAAACGTAAATTTACAGCAAGAATTGACAGTTCTGTGTTTCAAACATCAGCTGGAGCCAATGCTCTATATAGTTAAATAGATTGCTCACTAGAGATGTGCGATTAGATTCGATATTTGACAGTATCGATATTCAGGAATTCGAAACTTGATATTTCGTATCGATATTCTACAATGAACGGGAGTGGGGTAGAATCACTAAACTGTAATCAATGATCAGGGGCCCAATTCCTGACGCCTTCGTTAACTTATCGCATGCGATAACGTATGCGACTTGATGAAAGTGTATTCCTGAACTGGCGGCATTCGTCAAATTTATTAACGTATGCGTTAAGAAATGATGATTTTCAAAGAGCGCTCATGACCACAAAGCACATAGAGGTTCCACGTGAATGACCAAGGTCAAACCGACAGCTGACATTTTTTATGCTATTTGCTCCAAACTCTAGATGGGGCTACTGGTGAAATTATGATTTCTTACTCCATTTTTAAGCCTTATGGGAGAAAAACTTAACCAAAGACTCCAAAGATGTGACGTGTATTTATTTATGTTCTTGGTTAGTTTCATTTTTTCGTCTGATTTTAGTGATTTTTTGTTGGCTTTGGCTTTTGGTTTCTGTTTATAGTTTCGTCTTAGTTATTTGCAAAATTGTGATGTTTCGCTTTTTTATTTCCTACTGTGTTTTGCAATAATTTTGGTGCTACGTTGAAAACTTCATTGATTCACCATATATTCACCATGCATCTGCATCATAAAAAGACAAACGGGGACAACAACTAATTGATAATCAATTTATCACTGGACTAGATTCCGAAATCATTTTTCACATAAGAGAGTAATACCACCATCTGTATTTGGAAGGAAAATACCTATTTATCATTGAATGAATAGTTAAAAGGATTCACCTTTTAATACAATACCTATATTACATTTGTCCTCAGTTAAAAAGACATTTATAAAATATATAACTTTAGTGTTAATAAAATGTAATATCCTAGTCTCTACTTCACATTTAAATTATTGATAGGTACCTATTTTAAAGATTTGAGATTATATATCTATTTGCTCCGAGTAAGTATTCGTTAAATATGTATTATTATTTGTATTTATTTTTATCTAATAATATTTATTTAAGTTATTAATAAACATATTTTAAGAATGTTCTATTTTATTATTTATTGATATATCTTATATTTGTTTAATAAAAATATGCAGAACCAACTCTCCAAATTAAGGGGCCTATTCAGTAACTCTGAACGACGTCGTTAATAGACGATAATCGTTCACAGACGACTTTTCTTATTCAGTAGACAACGATTGTCGTTGAAAATAGACAAATATGGTTGTAAAATTGTCGTTCATCAACGATAGCCAAAGAGCTGTCGTTAATAATATGAAGTGTCGTTATAGTGATTTTTGCATTCCCTCTCATTTTTTATTATGAATCAGGATATGTTCTAAATAATAAAAACACTTTTTTACAAATTTTACAACTAAATTGCCATATACCTAATACAGCAAGTAAAATTTGTAAGGAATTTTTTTCTAATTTATTTAATTATTTTAAAAATAAATCGGATTCAAAGTTAGGATTGCCCATTCAACCATTTACTATTGGATTCTTATTAACAGTGCTGTTCCTAAAGTAGCACTGCGAAACAGTAACAAAACCTATGGAAGTACCTATACTTCTCCGTAACCTACAGAAATTTGGTTTGTCTTTCAAATCCAATAAAAAATACATCTTGTACTGTTCTCGAGTTGTTTTTTGTAATATTTTGGGAATAGTTCTCAGTTTTTTTTAATATATCCATACTCATTTTAATAAGCCCTACATACAATACGACCAGCAAAAATGGCCCGCGAGAAACAGAATTCCTACGAATCGAGAATCGACCCCCTGATCGTGTTGTAGGTTAAGAACAATAATTAATATATTCTGAAAAACAAATGAATATATCTACTGGTTGAATTTTTATTTTACGTTCCTAAAAAAATGTCAACTATACCGGGTGTTCAAATTAAAGGGTTACAGTTAAATACCGCCTTATATAAAAAAAAAAACAAAGTTTTATAGTTTTATTTTGGGTGTTACT